AGCTTTGACTACGTGGTCAACTTCGGTCAAAAGGAGGCTCAAGGGTATATTAAGGCATGTTAGGGTAAGGGATTTAACCTACCCTAGGGCTCACAGTGGAGCGGCGGTGCAGTGGAGCTTTTGAGGTAGCTCGGGGGTGGTTGGGTAGTGAGGAATCTCAAGAGGTGGCATAGGGCAACTAGATCTTTGTCTTTTTGCGCCGGATCATAACAGGGTGGATGATTAATTACTTCACATGGAATAATTGGTTTACACAATGGAAGGATTGGTAAATTCAGTGCGGAAATGGAGGTGCTGGTTCCCCTTGGCTCAGTAGGGGTTGTAGTCAATAGTCAATAAGGACAAGTTTGGCATCATTCATTCATTCTCCAAAAAAGCTTAATCTGATCTATCTTTGGAAAGGATAAAAATTAAATGTTTCAATTTTGAAACCAATGCCAAGATTCTGGAATGCCTTAAGCACTACTAGGTTTTTATTGACAAAATAAAAAAAGGAAGAGACATAACTAACAGCCATGGTGATAAAGCCTGTTGGAGAAGTAATCTATAAATCCAATAATTTGATCGCTCAACTAATCAAACCTTTACTAACATCAACCTCTAACAACCTCTACTGAGCTAGAATTTACCAATCCTTCCATTATGTAAACCAATTATTCTATATGAAACAATTAATTATCCACCTGTGTTGCATGTGGATCAATCTTTCATCCATAGATGCTTTATAAAAGGAAGAATATAGATATCCAATACTTACAATTTCAAATTTAAGGGTAGGAATATATATTGCTCAAGGGTATGTTATATTTTAAGTAGCAACTAATGAATGGGAATCAAATTTGTGTCATTTGCTTCGATACCACAATCTCTCTCCCCTTAAACTAACTGAAAAAGAAACAATTACTTGATGAGAGAGTCTTTAATGGTTATTTTGTCCCCATTTATTCTCTAAGGTTCCAAGAATTTATAATGACCATATATTCAAATATCATCCTATAATCATATGTAGTACAATATATATTTACTATTTTAAATCTTTGTGACACTCAATTAAATCTAGACACACACACACACACAGATATATATATATATATATATATATATATATATACGAGTTATTACCCAACACCATCACAAGCCATCTCCACTCTTGATGCAAACTTATTTTGGAATAATATCAAAACAAAAAAAAATTGAATTCCACTTTGAAAGAAGAATTGAGGAAATAATTATAAAGATGTGCTTCCTCAAAGGAAATTATCAAATTCGTTAAGGGAATTATCAGATCCAAGTGACATAGTAGTGAGTATCCACAGCAAAAAGTTCAATATCAATACCAGTCAACACTTTACATGTGATATGTGTCATAACACCTTTTCTCACCCTACCTCCCATTGGCTGAGAGTGTAAGACGTGGTTAACAAAATAACCCTTTGACAATTACCCCCCATTGGACGGCAGGATGGCTGCCATAGGCTGGATCCAGTGGCCCAGAAAATTTGGCAACTCTTTATTTTTATAAATTTCCTATAGATTTGGCATCAACTCATATAACATTGACAGCTTGTTGCTTGGACGACAATTATTAGTTGGGAAATGGTACAATCCTCAAGGTGTCTTCAGATACAAAAACGAAGATCCTTTATATTTCCAAAGGCCTACCAGATTCAGTCCGACTGCACTTGCGTCCTGTTTCTCCAGGATGACAAGAACGGGATAACTGGAGGTGAGTGCTGATCCATTTCCAGTCTCTCATGTGAGCCTCCCACTACTGTCATCAAGGGCCTGAAACATACACGAATTTTCTTGTCTGATTAAAGTATGATTCCCATGCCTTAGGGCGGGGTTCCATGCTCCACCCTGGGGGGAAAATTTCCAGGGGGGGGAAATAAAACCCTGGGTTCCATGCCCCCCCTGGTGACATGGCACCAAAAATGGGGGGGAAGGGGGGAACCCGGTGTCCCCTCCGTAAATTTCTCCCAGAGCCTGGAACCCGGTAAAATACACAAATAAAATAATGCCATGTGGCTAAATTGCCACATCATCTAAAAATTTGGCCTGCCCTAATTTTGTGAGCATGCGAGTTCTTGGAGGGTTTTGGGGGGGATTTTTGCAGTGATTTGAGAAGGAAGTTTGTAAAAAATGGAGAATTGCTCACCCTCACCTCATCCATGGTTGCAATTTGGCTCTTATTCTAGTTCATCAATAGCTCAAACTCATGTAAGTATGAAATTTTGTAATTCTAGAATTTTGCTTATTTTTCTTAATGTCCAGGGAGGAGAGGGCTCTTCTTTTAGTGCTAGCATGGGATCTATGCCAAATGCAGCTATGATCCAGGTACTTTTCATTTTCTCTTTGGTTTTTTTCTTTTGTTTAATAATGGTTTTTAGCCTGGCATTCCTACATTCAACCCGATAATTGGATTTGTTCCAAGTATCCCTACAATGCAAGCTAACTTCAATTCATCGAGCCAGGTATTTTTTTCCAATTGTTTTCCTACTTTGTGTTGAATGCATTTTTGCAATAGCAAGGATTTCATGGTGGGGGAATTGGAAATTCCTCTTTCACAACTTTATTATCACTACCTCCTCCAGGAACTAGCTCTTTTGATGGAGCAACAAGTATTCCAGAGGTACAATAAATATTATTTATGTTTATTTTTTGATTTCACAACTTGTTTTCCCAGAATGAACCAACTTTGAATGATGAACAAAAAGGAAAATGGTCTACTGATGAAAATATGGCTCTTCAATATGCAAAGAGGATGGAAAAAGAGAAGGATCGAGAAGGCGGTGGCCGTAGAAAATCGATGAAAGGACCAGAGAAGTGGCAACACATTTCCGGCATCTTACGTTCACAGGGATTTCATCACACACAAATGCAATGTGAGTCACAATGGGATGAGCTTGTGGATGACCGGTATAAGAACCCTAGCCTGCATCATGGTTAAATTTGTCGGGGTCAAAATCTTCCATGAACCTATCATTCCGTGTGATCATTAAGTTATGTAGCACACAATAAGCCATGATGTTATTTGCAAGGATGCCTGGATGACCTCCGAATCCTTTTCGAGCTAGCAATTTCCATTGCCTCTTTAAAATTCCAAAAGATCACTTGACAACAATCCTCGTAGAAGAATGAAGGAAGTTGTACTGCTCTTTGCTATGAAACCTGTTTGGATATGAGACCAACACCGGTAAAGCACAGTAATATCCTCCATCTGCAATGATATATTGTGGAATGTCCCCAAACTCTGTGTGGTATACTGGACCACATAAACGCTTCTTCTCAATCCAAGCCTTCTTCAAACCACTAGAATTCCAAACTCGTCTATCTGGAACACTACCTGCTATCCCTATTGTTATGTCAAGGAATGAAGTCTTACTGTCTACCACGGCTTGAACTACCATCGAGTAGTACTTTTTTGCCCCAGCATACCAATCCGTTGCATCCTCTGATCCTGGGAGCTCGATTGCAATGTGAGTGCAATCCATTGCACCACAACAATTTGGAAATCCACGCAATCTCTGAAATCCAGTTATAACTTCTTTCATTCCCTCCTCATCCGGCCAATGGATCATTAGTCCTTCATGCTCAAGCAATGCATACCTGAAACGGCATAGACAAGCTTGGGCAATGCATGAAGCCACTCCAAATGCATCACCAATTGTTCGCCACATATCCCCGGATGCCAAACGTTTCAAAGCAATAGCTACTTGCTTTGAAATAGGCAAGTGCCGCCTTGGTATTTCTGCCAAACCTGGAGGAGGCCTCCTAACCAATTTTGGAGCAAGCTCATCACAAAGAAAAGTGAATATAGATACCGAAACCCGAAAAACTTCTCTGAATCTTTGTGGATCTATATGAAGAACCTCAAGTTCTGTTTGATACCACCAGTGTAGACTTCTCGGCTTGATGTAGTACACACTGATTGATAGCCCTAGGAGCTCCTTTTTAGTGATCACTCTCTCAACAAATGAAGATGTAGCAGGACATGGCATAGAAAGAACTATAGCAATCGCTTCCTCCACCATTCGAATGAACAAGAGTTTTCTTAAAACCAGAACTAAAATCATATCTTCCTCCTCCAGAAAGAACAACTCTACCAAATTTAAGTACCTCATCACAATCCCTACAGCATGGGAAATGATCGCCAAGGAAAAATCAGTGAGCCGTGGCATGGTGTGTGCTCAATTTAGGGTAAACAAAATTGGCACCCTAATCCTTTATGACGTGGCAAAAAAAACGCTGATGTGTAAACTTACGTGGCATATAAAGAAGAGGGTTACATGTAACCATTAAAAAAATGGGGAGGGGAGTTTTTTTTGGAGGGGGGGAGAAATTTCCAGGTGGGTGGAGCATGGAACCCTGCCCTTAGGACTTAGAATTATTCAAAAAGAAAAGTCCACGGTAGACTTTTCCCACGCTATACCTTTTACAAGAATGGTGCGGCGCTGGTAACGGGCATGGCAGCAGCGACTTTGCTCAAGGCGATTCGAATTGCGGACAAGGTTGGCACAATATCCACTTCCAGCAAGGTCTGTAGAAACCAACGTAGGATCCTCATTGCGGCGGTCGGCTATGTCCGAGACTACCTCAAGCAAATCCAGGATCTCAACTTCGCGAGCAACGGGCCAGCCTTCGTGTGGGACGAAACCGTGGCTGTCCTTAACAGAGGCCTCCATCTCCTCAAGTCGTGCCAAGAAGGCAATTGGATCGCGCGGAGCCTGCTGTTCAAGGAAAGCTGCGATGAGTTCCAGAGCATTTATCCCGAGATCTACAACTGTGTCGAGCTCGTCAGCGTCTATCTCCTTCAGCTGGCACCGTCCACCTCGCACAGATCCAGGATTACCGAGGCTTACAACTCGTGCCTCATGAGGCAGAACTCGAGCAGCATGCTGGAAGAAGCCGAAAGGAACGATCGGAAGGAGCTCATGACTCTCGCAATGAGCCACGAGCCCGGGAAGCCTGACGACCGAGAGCGAAACAGCCAAAGAGATACTTTGCTCCATGCTCCTGGGAAACAAGTCAGTGATTAACCACAAGGAACTCAAGCTGACAACACACCTGGGACAAGGAGGTTTCGGAACCGTGTATGAAGCAATCTGGCTCGGTCACAAGTTTGCAGTGAAAGTCTTCCCTCAAGGTGACAAGAGCTTCGCCAAAGAGCTCGCGGTTCTCGAAGCGGACAAGCATCCCAACGTGTTGCACATCGCCGGCCAGTCTTTAGATGAAGAGAAGCAGCGGTACTCGCTGGTGATGGAGAAGATGGACATGGACCTGGCAAACTACGTCCTCAAGAAGAAGAAATCTCTCCCGTTGCTGTCGATCGTGGCAGTGATGCTCCAAGTTGCTACTGGCATGACGTGGCTTCACTCGAAGAATATAATCCACCGGGACCTCAAGCCGCAGAACATCTTGGTTGGCGAAGAAGACAACGATCTCGTGAGTATCAGGATTGCCGACTTTGGAGTCTCGAGGCCCGATTTCATCTCCTCCCTCATCAGCAAAGCCACCGCCAAGCAAGGCACCAGAAACTTCATGGCACCAGAAGTGTGGACCAGCGAGCGCTACACGAAGAAGGCCGACGTTTACAGCTACGGGATGCTGAGCTACCAGCTTGTCACTGGAAACATTCCGTTCAAGGTCGGGATGGACATGGAGCAAGTCCTTCGAGGCGAGCGTCCTGAGATACCAGCCACCTGTCCAGAGTTCCTGTCGCAGCTCATGCGGGAATGCTGGAGCCACGATGCAAAAGAGAGGCCTTCCTTCTCGGATATCTGCGAGCGGCTGAAGCAGCTCAAGACCAGGATCATCACTGGCACTGACTCCATCGATGAGTTACGAGCCAAGTTGGTTGCAGCAGCCAGGTCATCTTCCTCTTCTTCGTACTCGTCGTCTTCCTCATCCTCGTCGCACATCATGAACCTGGATTCTCCTGTCCAAGCACCTGAAGGGCTTTGGACCCAAAATCCTCCATCTCCCGTTGTCCAGGTAAACTCTTTTGCTTTATGTAACTTCTGGAGCTCACCACCTTTGGTTTCAGCCGGTACCACACCGTCCTCACCAAGTCGCACCACCAGATCAAAGGACCGAGCCCTTCGAACTGGTAAAGTACAGCCTCTTCATAAACGCCTTCGAGAAAGCTCTGTCCCTGAACGATCCTTCCACGGTCTGGTGGCTTTGCACCAAGGTAATCCATTCACGTCCTCCAGCTGCTCATCAAAGCTTTGTCAGCTCAGGTGGAGCAAAGCGTCGTGCTCCTCTTCAGTGACTCAATGCTCATGGAAGTGGCCGAGCAAATCAACACCAACTTCAAGGAAGACACTGCTCGCAGGTTGCTCTGGTTCGCCGAGATCCTGTTCATCTTGCTGTACGTCAACGTCAATGGACAGACATCACCTCGGATGCAGAGGATCTTGGAGGAGCTTTCACAGAACCTCCACGGCATGATGGCTATAACACCGTCAAAGAGCGAGCTGGGGATGGAGCTGGCGAACGTGCTGAAAAGAACCAACGTGGGTCTTCGGGTTCGTATGAAGCTCTTCGTGTTATTCGTTTGATTCAAATCGTTTGTCGTCGCAGCGTATCCGATATGGGAACAAACTTCAGAAGAAAGGGAAAAGAAAACTGTGAAATAAAAAAGCTGCGGAACACCGGTAGTTTCTGAGTATTGAGATGTTCTAATTTTCTGCCTGCCAAAAGTATCAACCATGCTTCACGAAAGAACCATAAAGAACTTACCAATTCCCATTCGTAACTTCGTCTCATCCTGCCGGGATAAACGTGAAGGAAACTTACGAGATAAATATCAAAGCACAAAGGTCTCACCATTCTTTAGTTCTTAAACTCGAGTAGACGGTGAAGATCCCAACCTTTTCGATCTGGCAGCAGAGCCTTGGCAGCTTCCGCCGCAGCGCAGACACCAGTAGTTCTCGTAGGATCATCGCTCTCCGCTCAAAGAACGATTTTGCCGCTTTCAACTTCTCGGGATCCCCATACTTGTATGGCTTGTAGACGATCCCGGCAGCTAGCCGTTGCTTCTTGAGCTTGGCTGGACGAACGTACGCATCGCCCAGTCTCTTCAAGCGCTTCTGGATCACTCTCCTCCGGTACACTTGCGGCTCGGGGATCTTGGGATCGGCGAGCGGCAGGCGATCCGGAGGTGGCACAGCAACCCACCTGAAAATCCGATCGTTCGCGTCACCGCCTCCCGCTTTGTTGCGCTTGGCCGGATTCTTGGAGCCGGCGCCCTCGCCGTGCAAGCACTGCGTGTGGACGAGGAATTTGCTCCGGAATTTGAGCAAGCGCCTGCTCTTGATCCCTTCCTTCGCGTGAGATTGCGCGATCCAATCGGGCCATCGGCAGATCCTTGGCCTGTGCCACGTGGCTAGTCCACGTGGAGAGACACGAGTTCATTATGCCATGACGGATCTTGAGCGTTTCACCTTTCGTTAGATGGTATCGGAGCAATGCCTGGGAGAGCGAGAAGAATTCGAAACCGTAGGATCAGGGCGACACTTGCTAGGGTGAATCGGAGCCTCCGTCTACGTAGACAGGGGCGTGGCCTAATCCTAGCGCTCCAGGCCTTGCAAGAGGCACTGGACAACTAAGAACCTGGACCTAGACTTGAACGAGTGGTGGGATTGGGTATCGGCACCCATGGCAGCCACTGTTCCTACAAATCCGCCTCCAAATCCACCATCTCAAATCCGACTGTGTCTACAGCGGATATCATTTCAGTGGACGCAAATCCACCAAAATTTGATGGGAGGAACTGGCGCTTCTGGAAGACAAAATTCGAATCCTATATGGATGAACGAGGCCTCTGGGACATCACCACAGGAACTGAGACACTTCCAGATACAGCCACAATGGATGAAACTGCCAAGTATCGCAAGAAGGACCGGAGAGCTTTGGGCAAATTCCACGCAGCGCTGGAGGGGCGAGAATTCCATTGCATTGGACGGTGCAAGAGTGCAAAGGAAGCGTGGGAGGCCATGAAGCAGACTTACCAGTTCCCTTCAACATCCCATCGCATTTTTCTACGGAAGCAGCTTCATGCACTGGTGATGGCTGAAGGGGACGACCTCAAGGATCATCTTGCTGCTGTGCGAACAATCCTAGATGATCTTAAGGATGTGGGAGCAAACATAGAGGATGAAGAAGAAGCAGAGCTGGTGCTCGTCACACTTCCTCCATCCTTTGATCCTCTCATACGTAGCCTCACTACCACTGGAACTACTCTAACCCTGAATGGCGTGATCAGTAGCCTCCAGGACGATGATCTGAGACGAAGAGCAACAACAGGATCAGAGGCCGTTGCATTCTACTCTTCTCTCAGGAAAGAACCAGTGAACAAAGGGAAACAAGGAGCCTCTTCATCCAAGAAGCCCAAGTGTTCTCATTGCAACAAGAAAGGCCATGACGAAGCTCAATGCTGGGTGAAAAATCCATCTCTCAAGCCTGCAAGGAACAATGCAAAGAAAAAGGTCGTACATGCCTTCATCTTGTCACGAGCTATGGCTGTGGCAGCACTGTCTACAGAGTGCATCTACCTGGATTCTGCTGCTACAGACCATATGTTCAACAGTGATAAGTACTTTGAAGCCTATGTTCCTACAGCCACTGAGGAGTATGTCATAATTGGCAATGCCCAGCAGCTTGCTGTGAAAGGAATTGGAACCATCATTCACTTTACCACAAGGAATAGTCGTGAAGATTCATGAGGTTCTTTATATTCCTGGTTTATGTGCTAATTTGTTCTCTATGGGCCAATTTGCTAAGGATGGGTATCAGTTTGCCATTACACCTTGCCAATTCCAGCTGATCTCGACCACAGGAGCTATCCTCACAGTGTCCTGGCCTGAACGGCATGACCTCTACCACCTTACCATGCTGCCCGACACGAACCATGGGAATATTCTAAGAATATTCTATGGCATGTGGCCGTAATGCCTTAAGGGTTGGGAGGTTGGCCTAGGGTTTGTTCTCTTGTTCGTTTCATTGGTATTAGAGTAGTATGTTCTTTTGGGGATGGCAAGTGAGCAAAATATTGATCCTAATGAGGAGTATGGCGTTAATGATGATAGCTATGACGATGTGAAAGAAACTTTTGATGATGTCGTTATGTGGCAAGGACGCCAAATTTCTAAGGTTCAAAACGACATAAAGGAAGTTAAGGATTTCGTCAATCTTATTAAGGATTTTTTGCTTCTCATGGACCCTCAAGGGTTGAGTCAATCTCATGTCCGTGATTACCATTAGTATGTCAAGCATCTCAAGGATTATGGTATCATGGAATGAAAATCATCACCAAATGTTTGTGATAGTCAAGAGGTTGATTCTTGGTTGAAATTATGGGAAAGTTGTTAGTCTCACAATTCTTATGAGGATAAGGTGAAGATAAATTTCTTTGTGACGAAGCTTACGGGCCATGCTTCTTCGTGGTGGAAGAACTACATCAAAGCTAATCCAAAGCTGACTTCTTAGACTAATTTGACGAAGGTTTTCCACACTTCATTTGTCAAAAAGTTTGAAGAGGTTGATCTTGTGAGCTAGCTGTTAGAGATCCGGCAGGGGACTTTGTCTTTAGATGCGTATGCCCGCAAGTTTCGTGATCTTTGCCTTGGTCTTACGGGCACCTATAATGAGCTGCTAAAAGTGTAATGTTTCATCAAAGGATTGAGCTCAGTGGATATGCAGTAGAAGGTCAAAAAAGATTTTCCAGCAACATTGACTGATGCTATCACTAAGGCTCAAATCTTTTTGCCCAAACCGTCGGTCAACTAAGTCAACTCTGGTTAAAAGGATGGTCTCCGGGGTGGTCAACGTGATGACCAACCCATCAATACTTCATCTTCAGGGAAGAAATAGCCATTGTTTCATTGTAGCTCGAAGAGTGGAGATGGTAATGAGGCAAAAAGACATTGGTTAGACCAACAAGAGAAGAACAAGGTGGAGGGCAATTGTTTTTGTTGTCACAAGGCTGGACATCATGGCAAGGATTGTCCTCTTGTGAAGGGATCAAAAAATGCTAAAGTGAATGTGGTGGAATCCATTGTGAATACAGCTCAGGCATTTGTTGTGGTGGCTCTTCCACAAAAATTCAAGAATCTAAATCTCGAGTTCATATCAACTCTGTTGAGATTAATGGTTCTATGCACAATCAACTTGTGAAGGCCAAAGGGGACATTCAGGGTAATGCTGTTAGTATTCTTTTTGATCCAGGTGCTACACACAACTTTTTGAACTCCAAGGTGGTGAAGAAACTTGGTTTGCCTGTGGAAAAGAGTTCAATCATCTACGAGATGGTTATGGCAGATGGATATAGCACTCATGTTTACGGTGAATGGGCTCCAAGTGTTCCTTTGACGGTTCAGGGGATTCTCGACCATTTTAACATTTGAAGCAGTGTTGTATCTCTGCTCCAATATTGAAGATTTTTGATCTTGAAAAGCCTTTTGTGGTCGAGACAGATGCAAGTGACATTGCTATTGGAGCCGTATTGCTTCAAGTTGGGCATCCTCTTGTATATATGAGCCATAAGTTTGATGCCACACAGCGGAAAGGCTCTCTATGCATGCACCATGGAGGGCTGGGTCATTCCGCTGTTCAGCTCGAGACATGGTCTCATCTTGTGCAGCTGGGACTCCGAGGACCTATGGAGAAGCCATGGCCTCACAGGAAGCGTATTACTGGCGTGTAGCAATGGAAGCCGAGATTGCTTCATAGCAAAAGAACAAGACACATGTTCTTGTTCCAACTGTGCCTTCCAATCGCCAGGTTATCAAGAGCATGTGGGTGTATGCTCTGAAGATTAATCCTGATGGCTCAGTTCGCTACAAGGTGCAATTGGTGGCGAAAGGATGCTTGCAAGTTCCTGGACTTGACTACAATGACACCTTCGCTCCCGTGATGGATGTGACCACGGCGTTTCTTTATGGTGCGCTTGAAGAAGAAATCTATATGGCACAGCCAGAAGGATTTCTAGCCGCTGGAAAAGAGGATCATCTCTGGCTTCTCAAGAAAGCTGTCTACAGCTTGAAACAAGCACCCAGATCTTGGTACAAATGCTTTGACGATTTTATACTAAGTGTGGACTTTTCCCGTAGCATGGCAGACCCAAATCTTTATATTCAGGTGGACGGTGAATCATTTGTGATCATCGCTCTTTATGTTGATGATACTCTTGTCATCCATAATCACCGCTTAATTTTTCTCCAGGTTAAGTGAGATCTTTGCAGCCAATTCGAGATGAAAACTCTTGGCTCAACTTCCTACTTTCTTGGCATGGAACTTGTGTGTGATCACTCTCAACACACTATCTATCTTCACCAAGCCAAGTATATAGAAGAGATGCTAGCCAGGTTTTCTATGACGAGCTCTAATCCAGTGGCGACACCAATGGAACCAGGCTGCTAGCTTTCACGAGCCATGTCTCCTAAGACAGAGGACAACAAGAGAGCCATGGACTCCATCCCTTACAGACAAGTGTAAATCACAAATTTTTCCTTTCCAATTTGCCAACTTACCTCGTCTATTTGACCAACATTGCCTTGGCTTTTACCTAAGTTCCCTCACCAAGGTTCCCGCCTATTGTACCAGCTACTACTTGGTCCTACTTGGTTTCAGCTACTCACTGCATGAGCAATGAAGCGTTAGCCATCCATCCAATGATTCCCAAATCTTTCCCAATCCCCCTCCCCAGGTTAGATTGGATTTAAGGTTTGGCTACACTCCCCGTAGGCACAAGCAGCCAAGCACACCAAGTCTCTAGGTTCTTAACATCCCTTGGTGCAACAAGACTTGGTCATAGGACCCTCTAAATCCCAAGCCTTGGGTGCAACATTTGCTTCGGGACGCCAGGGCAAAACACCGTGGCCTAACGGCCCGTTATGGGTACCTCTAGTCCCCCCCCCCTCACTTCCATCTCGAAAGGAAGGCCCAAGCCCTTAGAAAGGGCTAGGACCAATGAACCACAAGGTACTCAAGTGGGGCACGGCACCACTCCACATGAGCCAAGAGCACTGCAGTCAGTTTCCCTTCCGGGAGTGGGAGTACTCTTGAGCACTTCCTTGGGTGGCCCTCCGGCACCACTGAGTCCATGCTCACTCCCACCCAAGGCCCCTCGGTCCCAGTCTCAACTCAAGTTAGTTTGGAGGTACCACTGGAAAGTTCCTTCAAGACTGGTTCCTAGACCTCACTATCCCTACTATACTTTTGGAACCCCTTGCACAGCCCCCCCCCCCCCCCCCCCCTGGGAGACACACGCTTTGGGCTTTCACCCCTCGACTTGTATTAATACTCGGACTTGGTCTCGGACTCGATCTCGGACCCGACTTAGGACTCGATCTCGGACTAGATCTCGGACTTGACCTCGAACCCGATTTCAGACTCGACCTCGGACTCGACCTCGGTCTCAGACCTGATCTCGGATATCGAACTTTGTCTCGAACTCGGTCTCAAACTTGGTCTCAGAGTCGGCCTTGGACTCGATCCCGGACTCTATCTCGAACTCGGTCTTAGAGTCGGTTTTAGACTCGATCTCAGACTTGGTCCCATCCAATCAACTCTCTATCATTTCAGTCATGCTTTCAATGATCCTTTAGCCTACGACACCTTGGGGAGTTGGTTCCTTACAACTCCACCACCTATAGAAGAA